CAACCCGTGTTTTTTTTTAAAACTGTTTTTTTTTTTTTTTTTTTTTTTTTTTTTTATCCTGCCTTAGGTATGAAATGACTCTCTCCATAAACAATTGTAATCAATAAGTACTGATTTACTAGAGACCTTGTAAACAGTCACTATTCTTGTATGTACTCCATTACTTTACCTTTGATTTTAAGTCCTTTCCTTGTCTCTGTGTAAAATGTTCACACACGTAATCTAAGGTACAAAGCAATTTAATCAGAGTGGGGAGACAAATAAATTCCAAGTATAGGTCGCAGAAGAGAATAGTTTTTCCCAAGTTATTCTAGATCAAAGCCTAAAGGATCTATTTTGAGACACTTCGACATAATGAAGGGGGACTTGCTATTGCCAAACATACCAATGTAGCTTTCTAAATACTGTTAGATGTTCGCAAATTATAGTCTTTTATTGCAGTTTTCTCTAAAAGTAAGCTGCTCTTTATTATCAAGCACCCAGTAAATTAGATGTCTGTGTTTTCAATACTGTTCCTAATAGAATACAAGAAGGTGCCAGATGTGTGAGTCCTTTATTGCTAAGCAAGCATTGCTTCTGTTCCTGGGACTATCAACCACACAGTTACAGCCATAACCTAAAACAAAAGAATCTATATGACAAAATAGAACTGAGTGACAAGGAGAATATATTCTTGTTTTATGAAACAAAATTCTTGAGCTATATAGTGATAAATTATAATGAAGAACACTGTATGAATTAATACATTGAAAATGATAATACAGTTTACAGATTCATGTTTATCTCCAAAAGTTGGATTCAGGGCCGAGAAAAAGAATGATGCATAGGAATGTATTTTTAAAAAATAAATGCACTGGGACCAGCAGATGACATAATGGTTACATCACTGGACTCCCATGTAGCTGACCACAGTTCAAGTTCTGGACCCGGTGACTTAAAACTCACACTGGGCACATGAGCATGCATGCCCAAAAATCCCAAGAGGATACTGGAGGAGAAGGGATTGCAGCATGGTCATCCTCTTGGGGGGTGATTTCTCACTTCCTGTCTCTCTCTGTCTCTCTAGTGAGTGCACCCACTGTATCGCAAATATCTCTCTCAAAAAATAACAAAATAAATAATTAAATAAATGTACTAAATGTGGGTTTTTTTGTTTCTTTACAGTGTGAAAGAAGCAGGAGTAAGCCATAAGCAATGGCGGGGTCCCATATCATCCACCTGCAAGCAGTGCCCAATGATTCATACCAACCCAGTTTGTGGTTCAGATGGTCACACTTACGCCTCTCAGGTAAAGACACCTATAGTCATTTAATATGAATTAAATAGTGCATACATGTTTGTAAGTAATTAGAACTATTACCATCTAATGTAGTCATCCAAATGATTTGCTGAACTTTTAAAATAATATAAATAATCTCACTGGTTTGGAATATGATTCAATGTATATTTGTTTCTCCTGTATCAGAAATTTTTTAAGATTTTAAATTCTAAAGCTGTGAACATGGTGAACCCTCAAATATTAAAAACTGACATTTTATTTCATGATACTATGTAAGAGGTTAGAAATATTGGCATGTTTTACAGTAGCACATGCATAGTGTAAGCTTTATAAAGTGCAACCTGTGTGCTTCAGTTCCCTCCCCAGATAAAACCAGTATTACCAGTTACACTTATGAATGAATTTTGTGCATAGGAACATTTTCTTTTCTAAAAAATATTTATTACATATGAAAGCTGTGACATATCGCTGGTCATTGAAAAAGTCATGACTTGGGAACCAGCAGTTAACGTAATGGCTATGTTGCTGGACTCCCACGTAGTCGACCGCAGTTCGTGTCCCGGACCTGGTGGCTTAAAACTCACGCCGGGCGCGTGTGTGTGCGTGCCCAAGATCCCAAGAGGAGAATGGAGGAGAAGGGATTGCGGTGTGACCATCCCCCCTGGGGGGTGATTTCTCGCTTTCTGTCTCTATGTCTCTCTCTGTCTGTCTGGCGAGCGCACGCGCCCTACAGTGAAAATCCCCCCCCCAAAAAAAAAGTCATGACTTATTTTTCTATGCAAAAATTCATCATAACTTTTCTAATGACCCAATAGTTTTCATGTTCTCATCAAACAATGTATCTTGAAAATTATCCACCTCAGTATATAAAGCTGCCTCATTCTGATGACACTATATTGCTAACATTGCAGTGGGGGAATGTGTAATTAAATAATTTTATAAATACATGTATTTCTCTATAGGAACAGTTCCTAGAGATGACATTGCTGGGGTAAAGATTACATGTACTAATAAATGTTCTGCCAGTTCCTTGTCTAACAATGTACAAGAAAGCTTGTTTGCCTTAACCTTTGCAAATGCCATGTGTTATCAAAGATTTTCATTGTTGGAACCAGAAGTTAGCATAATGGCTATGTTGCTGGACTCCCATGTAGTCGACCATGGTTTGAGTCTTGGACCCAGTGGCTTAAACTCACGCCAGGTGCATGTATGTGTGTGCCCAATATCCTGAGAGGAGAATGGAGGAGAAGGGATTGCGGCGTGGCCATCCCCCTTAGGGGGTGATTTCTTGCTTTCTGTCTCTCTGTCTCTCTCTGTCTTTCTGGTGAGCACATGCACCCTATAGCGAAAACCTCTCCAAAAAAAGACAAAAAATAAAAAGAATAAGAAAAATAAGAAAAAAAAAGATTTTCATTGTTGCTGATCTGGTTAGCAAAACTGTTTCTTATTATTTTAATTTGTATTTTTCTTTTTATGAGTAAACTTTATCAGCTCTTTTTTCCCCAAAAAAGTCATTATTACTCTAACAAAGTTGCTGCTATAATACGTCAGGATTATTACTTTAATAAAAAGAAATAATTGTATGTGTGGGTCAGCAGGTGGCATGATGGTTAAGGCCTTGGACTCCCACATGGCCAACTGTAGTTTGAGTCCCAGAACTGATGGCTTGAAAATCACACTGGGTGCATGCCCCAAATCCTAGGAGGACAATGGAGGGAAAGGGATTGCTGCATGGCCATCTTCCTTGGGAGTGATTTCTCACTTTCCCTCCCACTGCCTTTGTCTCTCTCCTCTCCAGTAAGAGTATGCGTCCTATGGCAACAACTTTTAAAAATAATCTCATATGTTATATCCTATATTATCTCATTTATGTGTCCTCTGAACCCTTTCACTAGATAAGAAAACTGAGAATCAGAACGGTATAGCAATTTGACAAGTTTCACATATTTAGGTGACATTGAAGCCAATTTAATGTCATCTTTGATTCAATGATCTTCCTTTTACATAGTTGGCCATATGGGCGTGTCCAGCACCTTAACCAGCATACCACCTGCTAGTCCCCCCTCTATTGACTCCCTTCTTGGTGTTTTATATTATAAAAATATTTACACGATTTGAAGAATTTTACCTAAATAAGACATTGATGAGTTTCTTCTGATTTATGTGACAGAAAGGAATAAAGGCTCATAGCCTCTTTCCTCACACCCTATGGATGGAATTTTTTAAAAATATAAACTTTAGAAAAGTAATGAACATATTATACAGTATCTCCTCTAAGACCTTACCCTATCATTAAACATATTAACGTCTCTTTACGGAACTATTTGGATATACCCATTAAATAGTATACATGAAGACTATAAAATAACCTTTTGTGAGTTCATACCTGATTTTTCTTGCTGATGTTAATTCCAATTTATTTCTTTTTACTTTTAAAAATTGTTGCTTTTTGAGTAACTGTTTATAAAGTGAAATATGTCTAAGTATTTCACTGCTACTTTCATTTACATTTTGCACTTGCAAATATTGGTAAGACCAGTAAAATAATAAAGTAGATTAATTCAGTCCATAAATATATACAATGATACTTACTGGATGCCAAGTACTGTGTGATCTTAGTGAAGCAACCATGTATCTATCTGCTAAAGTTTAAAGGTGTATATAGAAATGAAGTTATTGCTAAGAGAGAGGGGAGCATGGGAGAGATTATTTCAACATAGCTTTGATCTTTTCATGAGCTTAACATTCCAAGTTTAGGAAATTCATGTTGTCACTACATGGGAGAGTAAATCTATCTCTCATTATCAAATTCTATACAATAATAATGTATAAATCATTATACTAATATATTAAGTTACAATAGAGGGTGTAGATTATAATCAAACTGGTAGATAAGAACTACATGAAAAACAAATCTTAATTCTAACTTTACTTAATGAACATTAATGATTGAAGTTCAGATAGTGGAGAGACTGGAAATTTTAGTGACAGCCAGCTAAGACCTATCCTTAAGTATTTCTCAGCATTATACATTTATGTGTAAACAATATGGATATGTTTGTCCCCAGCATATCCTATAGAGTGTTTATGGTAGCTCACCACCTACCTCTGGGGAGCATTTTTTAGGATGCTCTTGCCAAGTGGTCCTCTCTTTTCCTATTTATTCTCACAGAATATCAATTTTTAATCAAAAGTGATTTCTACTTTGCTTAATGGTTTTGGTGTTACTAAGCATTTAAGAAACCGTCAACCTTTCCCATGCAAGAATGAATATTTTCATTTCCATGAGTTTCCCTATGGTTCTCCTGGTGAACTGGCACACTGTGAGCCTTATCTTACAAATAATATCATCTTATTAATATTGTCAATAAAACACACCTTTGGAAATAATCCATAGTGGAATTATTATTTTAATATTTATTTGCAAAAGTTCCACTTTCAATAAATGCTTTATTTACATAGAAAGTTGTGGAAAGGACATATTGCAAATAAATACTGGTCTATAGTAACCCCAAATCACCATCTTTATCACTGTGTATTCTCATTTAACTCGATGGCTTTTCCACTTTGGACTAGCCATCCTAATTATAATGTCTGTATTGGCAACAGTGCTGGGTTGAGCTATATGAAACAATTAAGACTACATAGCACTCTTAGCTCAGTTTAAACTTTTTAAACTCTTGCTAGAACTTTCTTAGTTTATTAAATTTGAAATTAGAGTTAAGAACTTCCATTCTGGGGCCAGCAGTAGTTAAGGGTGCTGGACTTCCACCTAGTCGACTACCGTTCGAGTCCTGGACCTAGTGGCTTTCTTTCTCGCTTTTCCTCTCTTTTCCTCTCTCTCTTTTTCTCTCTCTCACTCCATCCCTCTCTGTTCACATTAAAACAAACACACAAATAAATAAAGTTAAATAAAAAAACAATTCTTTAAAAAATAAAAAGAACTTCCATTCTAACATTCTGCATGTGGTGCAAGGCTATGTTGGTACTATATTAGGAACAAAGATCACAGAACCAGTGCCTTTTTGAAAAGGTCATTTTGTCATTTTCTAACATACACTTATCAAAAGATAAAAATAGAAGATGGATATAGGGTTCACAAGATCTGTCTGTCTCTTGGTTCACCAAATTTGGCTTATTGCCTATAGACAATGTAAACTATCATAGGGTAGTGAACAACTTTTGGGAGATTTGTAGGCAACTGAGTTCAGAGTAATTGTACATTAAGTTCCAAGCTCAGTACCATTCATGAAGTCTCTTGCTTGAAATATTTAATCCCTTAGTTGAATAATCCTGATGTTAAAATTTGACTGGAAATCAGGTACTATTGGTCCTGGGTGTGGGACCCTAACTCCAGAGTGGAAGAGCAATTCTGCTTCTAAAGACTTTTCTTATTCATCTCTTTGTATTTTGGAGTCTCTCCTTCCCCATTAATATAAAGTTCTTTTAAAAATATACAAAAAATATCCCTAAGGGTTCTAGTATGTACATACAGTGCTATTGCGTTCAGCTCAAACTATAGAAGTGGGACTATAAATGATATTCTCAATTTAATTGGTGGTGAGATCAAGACAAAAGGTAGCATGTGCAGGAACTGGTGAATGGATTGGGAGAGAGGGTTAACTTAAGGTATTCCAAGGAAGATGTTAGTCAAATGACCTAACTAGGATACAATTTTGAAAGCATATCTTGTTTTGCAATGTGACCAATTTTGAATAACTATGTTATTAGAGTTCAAACTGTGACGCTTATGAGCTTTTCAAGAACCTCTTAGCAGAGTATTGTAAAACCACATACACAAATAGACAAACGAATAGATGAAGAACTACAGAAAAATATTGGGATACTTGCCATTGCGATTTTCATATGAAGTATTTTTGTAATGTTGTCATTGTCTTTTTTTTTCATCCTGTTAAGAAAGTCATTGACTGTTTTTAGAAGCCTTTAATCTTTCTTTGTAAAAGAACCAATGTTTTCTGAATTCTTTTAAATTCAGCAGTACCAGGAAA